GTTGTAGCTCACTAGTGAAAGATTTCAGTAACAACACTCATATGAGCAATCGATAAAAAGTTATGTTTATTTATGATATAATATATGTTACACAAATGTATATATATATGGATTAATTGCACTTTATGGCATAATTGTGTATGTACTTATATATAATCAAAAAGCCGTTGAAGAAATTTCTGTTTCTTAATTTCTTAATTATCGCAACATCAATATCAATTGCGTATATATAAATTTTCCATTGTTAAATGAAAGCTAAAGATTCTTCATTAGCACAGTTATCATTAAAAGTTTTATAGATCAAATATGAAATATTTTGGATAATGATTTTTTAATTACGAGAAGAGATATATATTTATTTCGATTTACTTATTTCATTAATATTTTTCCAATAAGACAAACGTTTGTATTACGTTATGTTATAGTCAATAAGAAAATATTTTAGTACATATAGTTTAATTGAGTTGTTAAATGTACATATATATAAAAATGCGCGATCTTAGTTTATATATTAACTTAAATAATAATTTTTATGTAACCAATATAAATTTACATGTGTGTTTTCTCATAATTTTACTAAAAGTATCGAGATTGAATGTTGCATTTTAATTTTATAGTGACCAATGACATACGTCATATTTAACATAAGCGTGTAAATCAGAGGAATTTTGACATCCGAAAAAATAATATCTTCTTACGATCAAATTTTCGATAAAAATTTGTACTTGCTATAGAATCCTAGAAACAATACCAAGAGAAAATGATTCTAGGTCAAATGACGATTTATTAGAATTAGAATTTTCATTTAACATATAAACGTATGTAATTCTTATCGGTAGAAGATTATAGCGATACTGATAACGATTCGCTTTTATGGCGTCTGAGCGCACGATATGAAACGACGCACAAATTATTAATAATATTCGCTCATTACCGCTGTAAAAAGATCACTGCGATAAGAACAACATAAGAGATAATACGTTTTATAAAAAGTACATATTTATTAATTGTAAGAGAGAGAAATTTACTTAAGAGACATTTGTAGAATCAATTTCACATTCATCAATTTCACAATTAATCATTTTCACATTTTATGTATCGTTATTAATTTTTGTCACTTAATTCACAAGTTGTCCTACATTCCGATCTTTAGATATCTAACGTGAAATCCATCTGCTTTTTTATTTTAATTGAAGTATCGAATATTACTTCTCTTCAACACTTATCTTTTTCTGATCTATTATTTTATCAACGATGTTAACACTTAGAATATATATCGGAAAGTATCGTATTGCTATCAAAGATTATTTGACATGATAATGATAAGAAATAACAAATTATAAAATATAATCGTATAGTCATCGTCATCGCATACTGAATATTATAATGACGCAATTATTAATAAGTGTAAGAACCGCAAGTCGTAGGACTAAAGCTTATGCAAGCAATCTGTAAATCGTAAAAATCAAAATTTTTTTGTTAACGTCGACTTTGTCGATTTTCGAATGTCATTTCATATTTTTTCACACGAGCAACGTTAGAAATAAAAAACTTTATAATAGATTTTTTATCGACAACGATTTCGCAATTTGTCGACTTTTTCTAGATATCTCTCTATATTAATAAAATATGTAGTCGGGAGAAATACGACGCGTAAGATTATTTGGAATAGTAACTTTTTGTATTTTTTGTATTCATATAATTCATTTTCTCTAAAAATAACTACGATACCAAACGCTTTTTGCACAATGCTTTTTGTAAAATGCTTTTTCTACTTACGAAAATAATATCGTCGTTTGTATAATTATTCGGAAAGACTTTGAATTTGAGAGACATTCAAAAATTTAAAAGAAAATTTTACACAAATTTCTTTAAAAACATTGTTTATAAAAACAAATTTTACTTAAAGCATTACGAGCAATCGTAGAAAGCGAATTACAACATAAGCTATACTAATCCGTAAAGTATCTTATATATAATTGAAATATTTTTAACATGTTATCACAATTAAACTTTACACAGGAAGTTATTATATTTTGCATGTAACACTGTTGATATTTTATACCAGTGTAAAAGATTTTTTACGTTATCACTATTAGGTATCTTGTGATATCAATTATTTAAAAGGCATATATATATATAAGAGGGCTTGACGACAAATAGCGTTAATATATAATTATCAATGTGTTCACGTTATGTGACCTCGTGTCAAGTATTCGGAAAAAATGTATAGTTTATTGACATAATTGGCACAGCTAGAGTATTCTATTTATGTCTGTTATAATGTATGCAATCGCTTTAAATAAATATATAATGTAACGTCAATAATAACGCATATATATTCCTTGATGGATAATTTTTTGATAGAATAATACAAAAATCCAGAAAATCTTCTATTTAAATTTTTATTTTTATGTATATAAGCTAAAAAATGCAGGGATGCATAAAAGGATTACCGGTGGATTATTTATGTTCTTTTAATTAATTAACGATTTAACAATTTATTTTGCAAATATAATATAAATTGCTGATATGTCATATATATATATTGATTACATTATCTTTTAATTACCATTTCCTAGTATCAGTTTTACAAGTTTTACGTTTGATAGCATATTCTCTCTTTGTAACATTTAAATTTAACTTTATTTTGCTTAAATCCGGATCTACAATAGGTGTAGTAAGCCCTAAGCCTTAAGAAATTTACTAATCACAGTCGAGTAGTCTCCTCATACTTGATTGTGATTGGTCAATTTCTTAAGGCTAAAGGCTCAATCTTGAATCTTCAATCTCAATCTTCAATGCGTAGTCTGATACGGGCTTTAGCCTTAAGAAATTTACTAATCACAGTCGAGTATTCTCCTCATACTTGATTGTGATTGGTCAATTTCTTAAGGCTAAAGGCTTATTACACCTATTGTAGATCCGGACTAATACGTTGCTGTCGAATAATAAAGTGATACCATTTATTCTACATATATATATTATGTATGTTTGTAATATATAAATACATATAAAATTAAAATACATTAATTGAATTTTCGATTCAAATATCACACTGGGAAACAACTTATCTCTATGTGTTTTGTGAGTAAATCCGTTAAAATATATATAATAAATGGATAATCTATCTTGTATTTTTCCAAAAAGAAAAAAAAGAACATCACAAATAATTTATTGTATATAACACATGCTTGTATCTTGCTAAAATTCTTTGGCATGCAATATTGCTTTGATTTGCTGTGTAAATAATATTATCACAATATATCTAAGGTAAAATAAAATATTTCAGTTTAAAAGGATTACCGGTGGACTCACGGTATTTTTATCGATGATAGTTTCCGCGTTTTGAAAGTTCTTTCTATGAAAAATTACGGAAAAAAAATTATTTTATTTTACCCTTCATTCTCTTCCCAGTCCTCGCGTGATAAAGCTCGCACATATCACCTTATATTTACATCATTCCCGCATACATATGCGGAATATAAGGAACATATGATTCACGGAATATATGATTCACTGTCTGACTTCGTCTTTATCGTTCAACTCCTCTGCTCTTTAGCGCGCTTTTTCTAAGATCTGCTTAAGTTCCGATGATCTAGGCTACGTTCGGGAAGCACGCTTACGCGCTAAAAGCGTCGTTCTATCTTTGTTATTTATGGAAAGTTGAACAAGGACAATGCATGCTCATAGCGCTAAAAGTGTGCTCCTCGAACGCACCCCTAGTTATTCTGTACTGAAAATAAAATTTCGAGCATAAGAAAAAAAGTGACGCAGGATTATCTGACTCAAAATTCATTTACCCCGCATTCGTTTTTCGCTAAAGTCAATTGACCGTTGAGTCTGCTTCCTTCGGACAATCCGCACAATTGCTCCAATCGTCGCCGCGATAAATTAAATAATTCCATGCCGTTCATATTTTCCAATTGTTTGCAAATTCTGCAAGTAAGACTGATTGATTGATTGATAAATTGATTGATAGTTTGATTCATTAATAGATTGATTGATTAATAGATTGATCATTGATAAATTGATTGATAGATTAAAGTCAATGTACTTCTCCGAGAACCCTTTGGCCGCCAACCAAGTTTGAATTTCCCGAGAGGTTGAGTATAGTCAATTGACCGTTGAGTCTGCTTCCTTCGGACAATCCGCACAATTCGTCGCCTCGTCGCCGCGATAAATTAAATAATTCCATGCCGTTCATATTTTCCAATTGTTTGCAAATTCTGCAAGTAAGACTGATTGATTGATTGATAAATTGATTGATAGTTTGATTGATTAATAGATTCATTGATAAATTGATTGATAGATTGGAGTCAATGTACTTCTCCGAGAACCCTTTGGCCGCCAACCAAGTTTGAATTTCGCGAGAGGTCGAGTATTGATTCACTCAAATCTCACGCATATCATTGCTGAGAGAAGAATTCGCTTTCTTCTCTCGGAACATCGTTAAGACAAACTTGAGCTTTTTTTGAACTTCTTCTTGACCGCAAGTGCCTTTTATAATCAAGTAAAACAATGTCAATAATACAAATTATTGAGAGCAATTATTTAAAATATTTAAGACAAAAAGTTAAAATTTGATCATAACTCACCATTAAAGAATTTAATACTTTTGTAAACTTCCGTTTTATTGGATGTGGAAAATGTCGAGGGCGCAGATTTTTGAGTTTGGAGCGGCGGAATAGGTCCTATTGGCGTCGGTGGTGGTGGAGGTGATGATGAAGGCGTTGAAGGTATCTTCGATGAAGCTAATGCAGGTGATGCGGGTGCTGATTTCGGTATAGATAGCTGATGTTGATTTCAGGTTGATTTCACGGTATAGATATGCTGATGTTGATTTCAGGGTAAAAAGTATTGGTGCCGATTTTCACACAGTTAGTATTGATGTCGGTGTAAATATTGATGCAGATAGTGCTGGCGAAAGCGGTGACGGTGACATCGGTTTATCGGCTATTACATCTGGTATTATATGGCGAGGTGGCAAATGCACTTCCACGATGCTTTGCTGTATGTTGAGCTTTCCATGCGATTCAGAGGTACTTTCGATGGAGGAAACACTCGACCTGCTGCTGTTACCCGTGGCTCCATTATAAGCATTAACGTTATCTGTAAAATAATTTTGCAATATTAATTTAGGTAAATATTCACATTAGATCAATCCCTTCAAAAGTCAATGACCTTGATATATGTTGTCAAGGTCATTGACTTTTGAAGGAGTTGACCTAATGTGAATATTTACCTTAATTTAAATTACAAATTGCCATGCGACAAAGAATTATTTATTTCACGAACACTTAATTGATATAGGTAGGTAAATCGTAATGTCAATATAGAAAAGCTTTATTAAAAACATGAAAAGACTATAACTTACCCCAAAGCTTTTGCATAAAACATACACAATCTTAGATATATTGGACAAACAAACATTAAGCATAGTTTAAGTACCACAAGTGACAATATTTAAAATTTTTTACAATTTGGAATTTAAAATCTATTAATAAAAATCGGGATAATAAATCATCTTTTGCCAAATACGCATGTTTTATTCGCTAATACATTTACACGCACGCACGTGCATATATTGTTTGTGCGGGTGTGTACAATGTATTTTTATCTCTGCACTAAACAAAATGTTTCTGTAAAATATGACAAAATATTACTATAATTAAGTTTAATAGTCGATACGATTCCGCAGGAAACAGAAAAAATGGAGGAAACAACGGTACTTTGCACAAACACAATCTGTAACTGCATATTATTTATTAACAATAAAAGTGATATACATAAATTACAGTGTAATGAAATACTGGACATGAATCGCATCCCCGACCCACCCGTGGACACACATACAAATGTAGAATTAAGGTTTCCATCGATCACAAAACAAGAAAAGATAGGAAATAGCGGGTGCGTAGCTGTTTACATTGTAAAATTTCTCGTAGAAATTATATATCGCGATTTTGGGTTGTTGTATTTTAGAGAGCATTTTATCAACACAATTATATTATAATTTAACAATAAACCAGTGTGAAAAATAAAATGCATCTGTGATAGAAAAAAATTAACAAATGTTTGTATTACTTCTTATCCACGATTATTATTTATACGATTATAGTTTACGCGCAAGTATATTGCTCATTGACTTCTTAATCCACTTATTATTATCGCATTGAGGTCAACACCTCGATATGAATTTAAATATATAATAATATATAATGCAAGCTATAAGAAGAAATGATTAGTATCGATTTGATAAAATCAGTTTCGTATTTTATGCCTGTACCTTTCTATTACTATTGTCTGAAATAGTAAAAATTTAGAGCCAATATATAGATAAGTTTAGACCGCGTGTTAGATTGTGAAACAAAATATAAATCTTATAAGGGAAAAAGAACTGATTATATAAGAAAAAATTTTCTCTCTTACTAGAGAAATTATAAATATAATTTTTCGATTTTTTAAAAATATTGATTTTAATATTTTCGAACATCTTTTATCCCTGGTTGTTTTTTCTTTTTTTTTTATTATTTCCTTCAATTATGTGTACAAGCTTATTTACATCGATCTAATAAATATAAAATGCATACGACGACATGTACAAGCAGAATCGGACAAAAAATTTTTTACTTCAATAAAAGCTATTAATAAAACAAAGCATGTCAAAATATATAATATTATAATAATATCAGAAAAGTTTTGTTCGCTTATCCTCTCCGTATCTTTCCATTAGATTCTTATCAAGGGCCTTTATCGAAATCGTAAAACTGTTTTTCTCAATGAAACTCCCAATATAAAGACAAAGGACAGACACAACAATTCTGCTATAGTTTCAATGAAAATATGGTGTGGATATATTATAATCTAACTAATTTAATTTTGCTGTTCAAATACATTCTTCGATAAAATTAAAGAATTACTTCGAACCAATTAAAAAAATGATGAAATTTAAATGTATGTAATTTTGCGAAAAATGATCATATAGTACCCAGACAGCACAAGGATGTCCTTAGGACGTCCAAAGGGCATCCAGGACATACATGTAGGATATCCTGAGGATATCCTATTTTAATCCTCGGATCTCCTCTGGATGTCCTGAGGAAGAGTAAATGATAGCCGTACACTACCCAGACAGCACAAGGATGTCCTTAAGACGTCCAAAGGGCTTTTTTTTAAAACAATTATTTTTTTTACATTAATTGATTTGTCTCATTATTCTGTACATAAAAGTGTTACGGTAAGATTATCGGAAACTAAATATTTTACGAGATATTTTATTTTTTATATCAAAATATGTCAGATTAAAATATAAAATAACTCAAAAAGTAATTAATGAAGAAATACTTTATTATAGTGTTTTGAAAAGCTCTCGAGATAAGCTACAAGAATATGTAATAAAAAATGGGAGTTTCCACTTAAGAAATTGAAAGTGACTTTCATGTGACCTTCAAATGACTATCCAAGGTCACATCAATGGCACCATCTTATGTCCCCCTTCGAACCAAACAACTTTTGTCTGAAACGTTTTTCCGTATCTTCCATATTTTTCGAGATATTTGACTGGCTTTTTTAAAATGGACCACCCTGTATATTGAGAACAGCATGTACAGATGGAATGAGAAAGAGAAGAAATTAGAAGACAAGGGTAGAAGAGAATGACACAACGACAGCGGATACGGAAGTAAAGAGAGGTGGGGTTGAAAAATTTGTTTTTGGAATGTAGCTGGATTGTTGAACAAGTGTGAGGAAACGTGGGAATTTTTAGACGGATTTGATATATTAAGATTAACAGAAATCTGGATAGATGAAGAAGGTTGTAAGAAAATTAAAGGAAGAGTATCAAGTAAATATAGAATTGTATGCCGGCAAGAAGAGAGAATAAGAAAGGAAGAGCAAAAGGGAGAATCATAACAGCTGTAAGAGTTTGCAAGAGGTAAGCATTAAAGATATGAGTGACCAAGCAGTGGAGATAAAATTGAGATATAACGGAAACAGATAGAGAATAATTACGGTATACAGTCAAAACGTAGAAGAAACCATGCAAACAATAAGAGAACAAATACAAGAAGAGAAAGAAAAACATCTAGTGGTTGGAGAAGATTTTAATGCAAGAACGGGAAATGAGGGAGGACCAGTGAGAGAGGAAGATGGAAAGATAAGAGAAACGAGAAATTCAATAGATAAGATGGTAAATAGAAAAGGAAGGATATTAGTAAACAAAATAGAAGAAAGAGGATGGATGATTTTAAACGGAAGTTATAATAATAAAGGAGGATGGACGTATATTGGTGAACAGGGAGCATCAGTAGTGGACTATGTGGTAGCGAATGAAAAGGCTGAAGAAAATATCAAAATGATAGTGGAAGGAGATCTAACGGAATCAGACCATGTGCCATTGGAAGTGGAATTGGAAGGACCGGAAACAAATATAATAAAGCAGGAAAGAACAACTAAAGTTATTGAAAAAAGTGATTGGACAGAAGAGGGAAGAGAAAGTTATCATGAAAGATGTGAAGGATGGAAAAGCATGCAGATAGAGAATAAGAATATTTGGAAAGAACTGAAGGAGAGGATAAGAAGTTCAATTATAAAAACAAAAAAGAAGATATTGTTATGGAGACTGGGAGAAAAGGAATGGCATAGTAAAGATTGGAAGAGAGAAAAAAAGGTATTTAAGGAAAATTTAAGAAGGATGAAGAAGGGTAAGATAGTCGTGATGAATACGTCAGAAAAAGAAAAGATTACAAAATATAATGTAAAGAGGAGAGGAAGAAGCATGAAAAGGAAGAAGAAGAAAAGATAAATAATATCAGAACGGAAGCGGAGGCATGGAAGTATATAAACAAATATAGCAAGAAGAGAGAAAGAATTGATGAAGGTATAAAATTGGAAAGTTGGAAAAATTATTTCATGGACTTACTGGAAGGAACGAAAAGAAGAGTTGTACTAGAATTAGAAGGAGAGAAAAAAGAAGAGGAACAGAAGGAAGAAGAGATCCAGGATATAACAAAGGAAAAGCTGATAAGACAACTGAAGAAATTGAAAATGGCCAAGGCACTGAGGGAGAATGATATAGAAAATGAGATATATGCCAAAGGAAATAGAAAAGGTATTCTGGAAGTTATTAAACAATATATGGAGAAATGGTGGATTACCGGAAGACTGGAATAAAGGAATAATTATACGGATTTACAAAAAAGGTGAGAAAAGTGAGGTAAAAAATTACAGAGAAGTAACGTTGATGAATACGGCTTAAGAAATTTACGCAGGCATTTTGAACGAGAAATTAATAAGAACAATTGGTAAAACTTAAGATTAAGGGCGACCTCACTGATTTCAATGACCTTAATATATGTTGTCAAGGACATAATTCTGAGTAACTTTTTCTTCTAATTTAATCGTCGCTCGTTGTTTACTACAAAGTTATGAACAATTAAAGATAGTGACTGACTGATGCTTGGGACATAAAACTGCACACATTTTCGCATGAATTATCAACTTTCAAAGATCGAATACTACAGAATGTAAATAACCAAGGTCAGAAGCTAGTAACTTGCTCGTAATTTTCTTTATTTACATTCTGTACATGCGTAGACAGAAAGCGCGCGCACGCGCACACACACACACACACACACATACAC